ATTCGAGGGGCTCGGCAGACCAGTGGCGGCACAGCCGCAGACGCAGCATCCAAAGGTATCATCATCTCATCCGACACCGCACACACACGGCCCTAGCCGCAGCTCGTCCCTTCGCGCCCGTCGTGAGGCCGCAGGCCCCTACGACGAGCACAGGTCGAGCCCGCGCGCGGCCTCTCAGAGGCCGCGCACTCCTCGCGAGAGGGTGCCTCAGGGGGCTGACGCCCCTCACCTATTTCTTTCCGACGACCTGCCGGCGGCTGCGCCCGCTGCAGGTGAATTCGCTGAGCTGCGAGACCAGGTTGAAACCTTCGTGTCCAGGCAATACTCTGGACTCGTGCAGAGTGTTCAGACGAACGCTGCACGCACTGCCACTCTTCGCCATGAGTTCGACGGCGCCTTAGCGATCATCGATTCGAGGATCGCCGAAGATCGCCGAATCCTAGGAGAGTTGCAGTATCAGGTTGACCGTGAAGTGTCACGCTCGGGTGAACGGTCCGCGACGTTCGACCACCTGCGCAATTACCTGGCGCAGATGGAGCAGCAGCTTGTCGTCGCCCGCGACGCAGGCGCGTCTGCGGTCATGATCTTGCATGACGAGATCCATGACCAGCTGCGCAATCGACCCCCTTCCGACCGAGGAGCGCGACCTTGGCGACGTTCAAGTCCAGATCAATGATCTTCGATCACACGTGGAACATACTACGGCCACGCTTCGTGCTGAAGCAAGTACCAACTCTTCGACCTTGCTCGGAGTGTTGCAGAATGCTGAAAGAATCCTCGCTCAACGGCTTGATGCGACCAACGCTGTTGTACAGCCCCTCGCTGACCGGATCTTTGTGATCGAGCAGCGTTTACCTGGAGTGCAGGACGCCCTGGCAGAGTTGCGTGTTTGACGAGCCCAGACTGATCAGCTGGAATCTCCTCCTTCGGTTTACGATTTCGCCCCCTTCGCTGACAGGCTGCAGGAAGTTAGGGCGGCGGCGGGCCACGCGCAGTCTGAACTCCCCCAGGCCCTTCGGGACAGAGGTGCTGAAAAGGTACGTGTTGAGGAGTGTCTCACACGTCTGGAAAGTGAAATGGAGGCGCGCAGCGTCCGTCTCCGAGCCTGCGAGCAGAGACTTGATCGGTATTCGCAGCGCTCTCGGGACACTGACGAGGAGATCAGCTCGTCCAAGCACGATCTACGCTCTGTACGCCAACAAGTTGACCAAATGCACGAGGACATGACGAACTGGGCGCCTCTGCTGATCGACCACGCCAACGACACTACACTTCGCATTCAGCCATCGCCAGGCCTCAACAGGCCGACGGCGACGTCCGCTGAAGCACCGCGCGCTTCTGCCGGACAACCAAGACGTACGTCGCCAGGAGCAGCCTCAGCGGCAGCTTCCGCTCAGACACGACACGTGTCTCCAGTGCGCACAGACCCAACTAATGACGGTGTACCGTTACCCTCGCAGCCATTGTCTGGAGTTTCGGTTGCCACTACCACTCCTATCGAGGAATCTGACACCGTACGGGTCCCTGTCTTGCCCAAGATCACTCAGCTGCTCGAGTGGCAGCAAAAGGTTAGGAATCACTTCGGCGCCGCTTCAGGGCGTCCCTCTAAAGCATGCGCTTTGCTCTGCGTCGCCGAACAACCTGAGTGTACCTTTGAAGACTTCCAAGACAGCGGTGATTTTGAGAGCACCGACTGCTAGCTCGCAGCTGCTCTCAGTGACATATTGTCCTCTGACTTGCGCTTCCAAGTCAAACTCATCGAAGCCAGAGAGCACAAAGCTGGACGTATGTTGAAAAGGTCGCCAGATCTACTGGCACATTCTACAGTCATACAGGGTGACCGAGATTGACGATGACCTTCACGATTTTGAGCGCCTCAAGGAGTTGAGGATGAGAGATGAAGATGTGCAACGATTCATCACTGAACGGGGCGCTCTATTGTTGGATTGCCGAGAGGCACCCGACCCCAAGATCCTCGAATCTCTTTTCCGGACTCAGATTCGCAGGCATGCTTGGATGAAACAGGATATGTACGAACACCAGAGAATGAAACTAAGCGACCCTAGTCGAACCTACGACTGGCTTCGTCAACGAGTTCTCGATGTTCTGGAGATGAAACAACTCGAGAAGAACCAGAACAAGCTACGGTGCGAATGCGAGAATCGTTCTCAGGTGAACATCTGCGCTGCATGGAACAAAGGCAACTCCCGGAATCGGGACCGTTGCAAGGCATTGCATACATACTCCAGGGGAAGCAGAGACGGCCGATCTCCCCGTACTTCGCGCGCCGGCGGCCACGCCCGCCGCAGCGTGTCGGCCCCTGCGAGTTCCAAAAACAAGCCAAGCGCGAAGCCTTTCTACTTCGAGTTCGCCAAACGCAGTTCCTGCGTGCGTGGTGATAAGTGCAACTTCCCGCATATGGCGCAGCGCAGTTACTTCGTCCAGAACAAGTGCCAAAAGGGTGACAAATTCAAATCTGCCCACCTTCCTGCTGGTACGA